GGTGTGAGTGTGTCCCTGGACGGAGGCCTTAGGTGTGAGTGTGTCCCTGGATGGAGGCCTTGGGTGTGAGTGTGTCCAGCGGTGTTCACAGTTCTCTCAGTAACTGCAGAGTCTGGTGCTCAGGTACACTCTACAGAATCTACGCATTAAATCACAGCCTTCTCTTCCATTGATTTTTGTTTTGAGATCATTGTTGATTCATAACATATTAACAAAATTGAAAACAAAACTATAGTAAGTTCCCATGAGCTCTTTAAGCCCATTTCCAAAGTGGTAACACATGTAAAACCCTGTCACATCAGAGCTGGGGTGGCAGCCACTCCACGTGCACCAGCAGCATTATGCATAGCCCCTGGTTTTCAGTGTCTCTAATACTGTCTTTTCATGACTAGTATATAAAGTTGAAGGTCATCCCTCACTACATAGTGGGTGTGAGGCCAGTGTGGGACAGGTGAGACCCCGTCTCAGAGCAGAGCAGGAAAGGTGGAGTCCAGCAGGTGCGGCTCTTTGGGCTGCGGACACTCCACTCCATTTCGTATGTGTGCGCTCTGAAGGCCGCGGAGCTCACGCTCTGAGCTTCTATAGAGACTCTGCTGCCGAGCTGTTGGCGACTGCATGTTCAGAGGTCAGGTTTGAGCAACATGTCTGCTTCCCAGATTAGTTGCATCTGTTCACAATCCTGCCAGCAGTGTCTGAAGTATTTTTCTCTCCACATCCCCCCAGGCGTTCAGTGTGTGTTGTTTCTGCCATTTCGATGGTGCACAGTTGTGCCCGTGTGGTTCTCTTTGTGTCTCCCAGTGGCTGCTCTCTCTGCTGCGCATTTCCATGAGGAGCCGTCTGCCGTGGCTGAGTTCCTTGGGAAATTATTTGTTCCTGTTTCCCCTTTTTTGAGATGGTGGTCTCGATGTTTTGCGCACTCTAGACTTGAACTCATAATCCTCCTGCCTCCACCTTCCAGGTGGACATGTGGACATGGCCCTCGCCTAGCTTTCCTTTATATTCTGATTGGATTTTAATTATTGAGAGGGCTTTGATTGTTTTAGATCATGGTAAACATTTAACAAACAAAAAAAAGAGGCCATCTTATTTTTTTCTTTTAATTCTTTTTACATTGTCAAAAAATGATTTAGGAAAAACCTGAGCTGCCGCTCAGTGAGTGGGTTCTTAGCATGCACGTGTTCAAGTGAGCTACATCTCGGGAGAGGAGACGGAGCAGTGAGCTGGCTCTGCTTGCCCACTGGTCTGCGTCTCCACACTCTGTAGCAGGCCTCTGGCCGCGTGGAGCCAGCTCGAGGCCCTTCCTGTTGGATGTCTTTAGAGTCACAGTAGCCGTTTGGCTCTTGTGTCTTGCCAAATGGATTTGAAGGTCATCTTTCATTTAGCTACAAGAAAAGCCTGCTGGGGCGTGGCTCTGTGTTGACCATGCGTGCCTGCATGGCAGAACGGCTGTCCTCCAGCAGGTCAGGGGTCCAGTCCATGAACCTGGCTCGTCCCCCTTCCGTAGGATCAACTGTACTGCAGGCTGAGGTGCAGCAGCGATGGCTGTCATTTTCTCTCTGTCACTGTCATCTGTCCTCAGGCCTATGAGAGGAGGTTTCCTACGTGTCCTTTGATTCCAATGTTCGTGGACAGTGACACCGTGAGCGAATTCAAGAGTGAAGATGGGGCTATCCATGTCATCGAGAGGCGCTGCAAGCTGGACATAGACGCGCCCAGGCTGTTGAAGAAGGTAGCTGGGGAAGGACACTGGGAGTCTGTGAGGTGAATTCATGCTCGCCATGAGCCATGGAACTGACCGACTTCCCTCCTTATCTCCTCAAAGATCGCAGGAGTCGATTACGTTTATTTTGTCCAGAAAAACTCGCTCAATTCTCGAGATCGCACTTTGCACATTGAGGCCCACAATGAGACATTTTCTAACCGGGTCATCATCCATGAGCACTGCTGCTATACGGTGAGTCGTGGTGCGCCGTGGTGCGCCGTGGTGCGCCGTGGCACCAGCTCACTGGGGCTCCCAGGCCATGCGCAGACTACAGCATAGGGTGGTGCTTTGTACTTCAGATGAGTGGTACAGTGGGGACTCGGTGTGGCATACCGAGGGAGAGCCGTCTCAGTGTGACAGTCAAGGCTGCCGGCTGATGCTGTGGCTGTTCTTGTTTCTGAGGCAGGGACTCACTCTGTACCCTATCTTGAAATTTGCCATGTAGACCAGGCTAGCCTTAATTTGCCACTGTCTTGTTGCCTTGTCTCCTGAGTGCTGAATTACAAGTGTACCATTACACTCCTGATTAGTGTTTTGAAACAGGGTCTCACTGTGTAGCCCAGGCTGGCCTGAATTCACTATGTAGAGTAGGCTGGGCTGGAACTTACAAAGGTCGGGCTGCCTTTACCTCCCAAGTGCTCAGACTAAAGGCATGTAGTACCAAGGCCAGCTTCCTGACTGGTTTTTAAATATGAAGAGTTTTTTTTTTTTTTTTTTTCTGGGCTAGCTGTTTGACTTTACAAGTGTGTTTTGAAGCCGAGGCTTATGTGTCTTTGCAGGTAGAGCCCTGAGCACCTGCCCAACTTGTTCTACACTGCATAGACCAAGGCTTAGGAATGTCTATCCCCCGAGCATGAGAGTAACCCCTCCTAGTCTATCCCTCAGTCGTTAGCCTCCTGTACCAATCTCCACAGACACCCCAAGTGACACACCGAACCCTTGTCACACTTAGCTCTGCCCCCCTCTCCTCCCGCACACCAACCCTCCTCTGCACGTTGTGCCCGGCATCCAGCCATGCCGGTTTGCTAGGCCTTCCCCCTGCTTTCTCCATAGCACTGCCTCCCAAGCAGCCATGTGACTTTCTCACCTCTCGTGTCTGCGTTGCCTCTGTCCCCAGAGCCTGAGCAGCACAGAGCGTGGCTCTTCTGTCCCTGTGGAGCCCCCACAGGTGCTAGGTGAGTGGACAAGGGAGGCAGAAATGAAAAGCTGTAGTCAGCCACTTAGGGACAGTCACGAGAGACGGTTACTGGAGCCTGTGTGTGTCAACTGTGTCAGGAGAATTTTTTGCCCGGATTTCCTTATTCCTCATGGCAGTGATGTCATCAAACACGTCTTTTCTGGTACTGGTCAGCTAGCCAGGGCACAAACAAGTGGTGTCTCCACGGTGAGCATTACTGGGAACGTGTTCTTTCCACCTGCAGGTTCACCCAGAGAATGAAGACTGGACCTGTTTCGAACAGTCTGCAAGTTTAGATATCAAGTCCTTTTTCGGTTTTGAGAGTACAGTGGAAAAAATTGCCATGAAACATTATACAAGCAACATTAAAAAAGTGAGTATCTTTCTTGGGATTTTATGGAGAAGGGAGGTAGGAGTCTCTGAGAGAGTGACCACAGCTTGTACCTTCTTTGGTCTTGTTTACTTGTGGAGACAAGATTTCCACATTTACTCAAACTCATAATCCTCCTGCTTCAGCCTCCCAAGTGTTAGGGCTCCAAGTGTGTACCACTGCAGGCAGTGAGCGCTGTCGAGTGGGTGGGCGGGCGGGCAGGATGAAGCCAGCATTCCACCACAGAGCTTCAGCCACAGCCCCCAGATTCCTGTTTGGGTAACGACTTATAAGCTGGTGAGGGCTGGAAGGCTGCCTGTGGGGTGATGCTCACCCTCGCTGTCGTCCCTTAAAGGGGAAGGAGATCATCGAGTACTACCTGCGGCAGCTAGAGGAGGAAGGCATCACCTTCGTGCCCCGCTGGACCCCGCCCCCCGTGGGGCCCTCGTCAGACATGCGTTCATCAAGCCAGAATCAAGCCACATTCGCAGCTGTCCTTGTCCCAGATGCTGCTGCCGGCAAGGAGGGGCTGAGTGGGGATAGCCTCGGAAGCCCAGGAACCGCGTCTGAGCCCGTGGTGGGAACTCCTGACGGTGAGCCTGGCCTGGCTGAGGGGGATCCATGGGCCCTTCCCCTCTCCATGACTCTGCCCAGTCATGTCTCCTCAGGCCATCCATCTTGCCCAGAAGAGAAAGTCTGTCTGCTTCTGGCCTGACCTCTGTCCGTCCTGCTTAGAGAATGCACACTCACTCTCCTCTTCTTTAAACAGAAGCTGTTTCTAATGTCCACACCCTGATTGGTGACCGACAGTGACTATAAGACACTGTCCTGTCCACAGCTTTCCTGTCACATGGCAAGTGACAAGTTTTCCCCCCCTTTAGTTTTTTCCTGTCTCAGTGACAAGTTTTACCCCTTTAGTGATGGCTGCTTCAGGCTGGAAGTACCTTCAGTTCATATTTGGGTCCACCGAGGCACAGAGCAGTTGAGAGACTTGCCAGTGGTCACACAGCTAGTGAGTGGCTGGGTGGAGAGTGCATTACAGTAGCTGGGCACAGGGCTGTGTGCAGAAAATCAGAAAAGAAACATTATTGAAATATTGAAACCTTTGAGCAGCCGTTGAGGAAAGGGCAGCAGTCATGATCTCAGGCGATGAGTTGAAGACACAGTGCTGGCTTTGCTGAGTTTGGCCTGTCCAGAGCAGCACTGAGTTACAGGCTGGAAGGAGGCTCGGAACCTCCCTGTGGTTATCGGGGATCTCATCTTAAAGACTGCTTACTTACCTGTGCTTATCAGCGATACCTCCCTAAACACTGATGAAGCACTCAGGGCGACTGCCAACACCACTGCCCCACTCCCAGCATACCCTGCCCACACCAGCTGACAGAAGGGCTCAGCTGGTAAATAACACCATGCACGTTCAATTCCAGACAAATTAGATGCCGACTACATCAAGAGATACTTGGGTGACCTGACTCCCCTCCAAGAGAGCTGCCTCATTAGACTGCGCCAGTGGCTTCAGGAGACACACAAGGGCAAAGTGAGTGCCAGCCCCTCAGTTCCAATCCCAGAATCATTCTCCAGTCTTAGCAAAGCTGAGAACTGAGCAGGAACTAAGCTACCACTCCCACTGTGTCTGCTCCTGCTCTGCTGAGACACCAGATCCCCAGGACAGGTTGAGGATGCCGTCCTCACAGAGCAGCCATTGCTGTTCTTCACAGATGGAGGTCGAGTTTAGCAACCATGAGATAGATGCCAAGCCACAGCCCAGAGTCTGTTGGTGCTGGGGAGCTGGAGGCTAAACATGCTGGAGCATGTTTAAAGTGTAATCCTTAGCATGTAAAGAAGACAGCTTTGTTGTGACACTTTTATACACATGTGTCATTAACTTTGTTATTCAGGAGACGGTCGTTCCCCATCCAGTGGGGCTTTGATTCTGTCATTGTGGGAGATCCAGCCCCACAGGTGTGAGGTTTACAGGAAACAGGCTGTTTGGTATGTCTGGCCAGCTGGGGACATTGTCAGGTAGAGGGAGCTGGGTGTCGAGTGCGGCTGGCCTTGCCTGTAGGGCTTGCTTGCCTGGGTTTGCAGGCACACAGTGCCAGCCATTAGGAAAGCAGCCACAGAGGAGCAGCCACCTATATGAGTGTAGTGTGGGAAGCAATGTGAGGGAGGGGTTAGGCAAATAACAGAGGCCTTGGGGCTGGTGCGTGATAAATAGAGCAGTACACTCCACCCCAGCACCCACAGTACCATGTGCTCCCCTTCTCCCTCTTCTTTCTAGAAGAAATATAGCTAACTGGTTTATTAGGGTGAGAGTTAATTCTTTTTTTGTTTGTTTTGTTTTGTTGTTTTTTAAGACAGGGTTTCTCTGTATAGCCCAGGCTGTCCTGGAACTCACTCTGTAGACCAGGCTGGCCTCGAACTCAGAAATCCACCTGCCTCTGCCTCCCAAGTGCTGGGATTAAAGGCATGCTCCACCACTGCCTGGCTGCGAGTTAATTCTTATTTACATATTTAAATTGTTTATTTTCTGTATTGTGTGTGTGTTTCCTGTATGCATACCATGTCCATGCAGTGTTTGCAGACACCAGAAGAGGGCATCATATTCCCCAGGACTGGAGTTAAAGATGGTTGTGAGCGGCCCTGGGAGAGCTGGGAATTGAACCTGGGTCCTCTGGAAGAACAGCCAGTGGCCTAACGGCTGGGCCGTCTCTTCAGCTCCCTCTTTATTTTCTGGGAGAGTTTTACTGTAGCTGCAAACCTTAAAAACTGTTTTTAAATTATTTTATGTTTATAGGTGTTTTGCTTACATGCATATCTACATAACATATTTACTGCTCTACATCTCAGCCCCAAATACTGGAAGACTTTTGATCCTTTTGTGTCAGCCACCCAAGTGCTGGGGTTATGTGTGTGCGCCTCCTTCCTCACCTACGCTGTCACTTCTGCATGACTTTGGTTCTTCCCAACGGTTGATGCTTCACCTCAGATGGCTAGGAGGAGCCTGAGAGGCTCCCACTCCCTTCCCCCTCTCCTGCTGCCCTCACTGCCCTCATTCCTGGGTGTGAGCCATGAGGGAGATACCTGGCCCAGAGCAGGCTGGGAACACAGCCCCAGCCTTGTTTACTTAGGCAAACATCCTGTGGATTGACAATAGTGGATCCTCGAGAATAGTCTGGTGTGTAGCACCACCATCCTGCCCACACCAGCATCGGAAGTATACTGTGTGCGGACAAGCGATCTTGCTGTCAGAGTGTAGGACTGAGGCTGGACGTTTACGTCTGTTTGCAGCCAGGTGTGGTGGCAGCATATATCTGCCCTTAATCAAGGCAGAGGCAGGCAGATCTACCTAGTGAGTTCTCTCCAGAGCTTCATAGTGAGACCCTGTCTCCAAAATGGGCAAACAAACACAAAGAGACCAGCTTGCCTCCTCCAGACCAGACTTTGCTGGGCTGAAAACGGAGCAGTCAGGATTGTTATCTCAGTTCTCCTAGGTTTCAGATTATTGTAGCTTTATTAAAATGACACCTGGGGTGAGTTTTCTGGCAAGGGATGGACTCTAGGTCTTGTGCATGGGAAAGCGCTGTACCTCACAGTGCATGTTGGGAAAGCGCTGTGCCCCACAGTGCAACAACCTAGGAGCACTGCCTCTCAGTGATGTGAACGCTGCAGCTCACCGTTGGCAGGGTTGGTCAAGGTTTGACCTCTTGCCCAGTGACTCCAGGTCCCTTAAACCCTCTGTTCTCCTAGATCCCAAAGGATGAGCATATTCTTCGCTTTCTGCGTGCCCGAGACTTTAATATTGACAAGGCCAGAGAGATCATGTGCCAGTCTTTAACTTGGAGGAAACAGCACCAGGTGGATTACATTCTGGACACTTGGACTCCGCCCCAGGTCCTTCAGGACTACTACGCTGGGGGCTGGCATCATCATGACAAAGGTAGGTGAGCCTGAGCATGCTCACAGCTCTGCACTGTCTTAAGGTACCACCTACACTACAGGGCATTCTGTAGCCCTGCTGTGATAGTGGGCGGGGCCTTCCCACCACATGACTAGCTGGTGAGACCCATCTTGAAGCCCATTCACAACCAAGCCTGAACAGCCAGGCATTGGGGACAGGGACAACTGCCTTGTCTTCTGTTCTAAGCCTGGTTGAGAAAATACTGAGTGTGGGCTACACTTCAGTCCCACGGTGCTGACTAGACGGCAGTGACCGCCACCTTTATAGTAGCTGAAAGCTGCGTGGCCTGGTCTCTGCCGTAGAGGGCTGAGTCATAGCCAGGTGCATGTCAGCCACCTCTGGAAGAAGCAGCTCCAGGAAGCTCCCTCAGCTCCCACACCTGCCTCAGCCCTGTGGGAGGGTGCACCTTGTTAACAAGTCTTCTCCACAGCTGACCCAAGCTGGCCAGCTGTGGGGAGTGGAGGTGTGACCCTGCAGATGTGGTGGGGTACTGGTGGGGAGTGGAGGTGTGACCTGCGGATGTGGTGGGGTACTGGTGGGGAGTGGAGGTGTGACCTGCGGATGTGATGGGGTACTGGTGGGGAGTGGAGGTGTGACCTGCGGATGT